CACAGTCACACACAGTCACGCACAGTCACACACAGTCACGCACCCACGGGCACACACAGTCTCGCACACGCACACGGCTGACGCGGGCGGCGCCGGCGGGCTCACCCCCAGCTCCGACAGCATCTGCTCCAGCTGCTTGTTGGAGAAGTTGATGAGGCCCTGCTTGCGCTCGATCAGGATGGTGCGGCGCGAGATCTCGTTCTCGCTGTTGCTGATGAGGTCGTTGACCTTCTTCACCTCCTTGTCCAGCTCCGCCAGCACCTTCTGGTGCGCGTCCAGCCTGCAGCTGGTGTTGGTGATGTCCAGGGTGCCCTGGGCGATGTCGCCGTCGAGTTTGGAAAGATGTGTCACCTGGGTCGGGGCAAGCAGCCGTCTCAACACCCCGCGCCCGCTGTGGGCACCCCTTCCGGATGGCCGGCGCGGGGGGGCGGGGGCCCAGACCAGCTCAGGAGGCCGCCGGGGCACCCGACTGGGCCCCGGGGGCGGGTTTCACACCCCCAAGCCTGCCTTCCAGGCCCACGGGCCCAGGGGCGTGAGCGCTCTGTCCCGGGGAAGCCTGGCCTTGCCCCTCGCCCCTGGCTCCCGGGGCCCCGCAGCCTCCCCGCTGACACTGCGACTCTCTCTTCCTGGTGGCCGGTGTCGCAGCGGCGTTGGGAAGGGCAGGCCCCGCCTGTGGACCTGGACTGCGGCCGCCTCCCAACCGGGGCAGCGTCCTGCAAGGCCCTGCTGCGGGTGGGCTCAGCCCCAGGCCAGTGGGGAGCCGGAGCCTGGGCTGGCCTGGGGCTGGCCCCCAGCTACCCCAAGTCGGGCCTGGCCCCCAGCGTGGAAGCGCCGGCCCTTCTGAGCCTGGGGTGCACCCCCACCCTTCTCTGCTAAGCCTCCTGGGGTCTCTCGGGGCTCCGGCGCGCGCCGTCCCCACACACCCGCGGAGGACTCAGCCCCTGGGCCCCTCAGCCAGTCGGGACGCCCCGGCTCTGCCCCGGCTGTGGACACCAGACCGAGCTGCTCGGTGCAGACCCACCCCCGGGGGCCCACTCCGCGCCGCCCCACCCTCCACGTCACCCCACCCCAGCACACCCCAGCGGGCCGCCTTGGCCCGGGATCTCCGGTCGGAACAGACTGTCCAGAGAGCGGGGGGCCCCCCTGGGTGGTGGCTCCGATCCCTTCTGCCCCGCGGGCGTGGAGGGTGCGGCTGGGCATTGCTGCACCCCACCTTGCTCCTAGCCTCGCCGGGGCTCCCTGGGGACCCGACGCGAGGGTCCCTGCTGTCTCGCACCCCCAGAGGGTGGGTGGGCGCGGGGCGGCTACACCAGAGTTGGCCTGTGCACGGCCGCCAGGGGCACCCCGTTCCCGCTCCCCAGCACTGCCTCGGGGTCCTGTGGGCCGCTCGCCACCGTGCGCCTAGTCAGGTGAGGCGTGGAAGCCTCTGTGGGGTCCCCCAAGGGGCCGGCCACGGCCGGGGACAGGAAGAGGCAGAGAGGCAGCAATTCAGGGGGCAATTCGGACTCGGGGTGGGGGGGCTGGCGCCGCCGGCGAGCCCAGAGGGCCCAAGTCAGCGGGCGCCGGAGGGC